CTAGCTCTTAATTTTTTCAGTTATTGCAATTCAATTAAATATAGATGACGCATACTCATTATGTCTAATTTAAGTGTAATTCAAAGGGGAGTTTGTGTATGTAAGCATCATTCATGGGGATAAAATGAAAGATGGTTTGACCATTGTCCAGCAGAGGTCACTGTTTGACTGCTAAACCCAGATCCTCTGTCATTTATCACATCTATCGCCCTAATAAATATATTGGCATTTAACATTTAGGTGCATTCGTGTTCCTCATATTTTATGTGAAATCTGATACTTTTCAAAGATGGGTGTTTTCTTCAAAATCAGACCAGGAAACTCTAAAGAACTTTAATTCCAAACATAGACTCTTACCTCATCACAAGCCTGTTTCACTCTCTATACCACAGCCTGATTGTGGCTTTCAGCACTGTAGAAACCAACCTACTGACATGATGCATAAGACCTGATTCAACAAGCAGCGTCTACGTCCTCCAACAGTGAGGGACATGAATGAATGATATATTTAGGACATGCAGTGTCAGACAGATCCATTCAGCTTCACCTCTAGTGAGACATCACTCACTCGCCCATTATAACCTAACCACAACAATGAATTCCCTGTCAGTCAGGTGAGATGTGAAAAATGTGAAGAGTTGTCTCCAGACTCTTGCAGGTAATTACACAATGATGGTGTCTTCAGATAGATAGTGTGTGTGTGTGTGTGTGTGTGTGTGTGTGTGTGTGTGTGTGTGTGTGTGTGTGTGTATGTGTGTTCTTTCCAAAATTTTATTCAACATGATCTCAAGATGATTCTTGTTCTGCCTCAGGCCTTCGACAATTTAATTTTTTAAGAAAACAGTGAATCTACAGTAAATCAGCGTTGTGTGGTTTACTGACGCAGCTAGCAACTATAACGCATAGTGTGACCTCAAATGTCTCTGCAAGAAAATATTTTATTTCTTGGGGAAATGGAGCAGGCGTGGCTGCTACCGTGCCAGTGTGACCTTGCCACCTCTCAAATGAAGCTATTAGCCAGGCTCAACCACAGTGAGATTGGGAGAAAAAGAGTGTGTTCCTCCCCGATAAACACTGAGTCGTGTGTGCTTTAGAGGCCTCATTTTTGTCAGAAAGTCTCCAACACACACAGAAAGGTAGAGCGCAGCGAAGAGTCACAGTGGGGTCTGATAGTGCAGGCTACAGGGTGGGTGTTCTTGAATGCTGGCTGAAATTAGATTCCAGCTGTTGGGTAGTACTGTAAGAGGAAGGTGATTGCATAGCGGGGTGTTTGGTCAGATAGCAAGCTAGAATTATTCCCCCTACCTGGGCTTGGATACCTCAGGGGTGAGGCTGATGGAAGTGAAAGCCAATTTAGCAGTGGGAGTTGCTTCTGTGTGATGCAGAGCTGCTCTTAAGAGAATCAGGGAGGGGAGGTCTAAGTGCAGATAAATGTGTTTTTGATCTGTTTTTTGTGGTGAAGTTTTCAGTATCGTTGTTGTTTTTCTTGTTTTGCAGAGACTTCTGGACCAGATCCTGCAAAGATAAAGAAGACAATGAGAGGCAAATGGGGTTAATTCAGTAACCGTTCAGGCTCTTCAGTTCTCTCCATGTATATTAAACATGACTGTGTGTTTAATTCAGTTAATCTTCTTTGCAAATCATTGCCATAACTGTGCATATGTATTCATTTTCTTCTATTTCTTTAAAAAAAAATCCTGTTTGCTCATTGTATCCTGACTGCTTTACAGTGCAACAAAATGCAACAGTAAACAAAAAAATTTGATTTTGCTGACATTGTCAATAAGCTTTTGCAGGGTGACAGGAAGACACATTAAAAGCAAATTTCTTTATTTTTCACCAGTATTTATATATGTATAATTTGATTGACACATAACAACTATTTAGATATTTCTGCTTATGCCAATGGCATACTATGGCAAAATAAGCTATTTTGTTTTTGCAAATTATACTGTATAAGTTTTCTGTAGATGAAAATTGTATATTATGCTCAAGGCGTATGTTATTAAGTTTGTTTGTGTGCACACACTGACAAAGCCCAACCTTCTCACCCACCACCAACACACTTATAATAAAAAAAGTGAGAATGGTTTGGCAGTTCAAATATTAAAGGATTTAAATTGTAATCTGTCTTCACCCAGTGATTAAATACAGATTAATCACATAATTGTATTAATTTATTTCCTAATGGTTTGATTCTTTACAATCTCATTTTCCTCTAATGTACCTCAAAATGAAATAAAAGTTTTTTCAAGGACATTCACTGTAGAAATAGTGTCATTTTCCAGGAAATTGAGTCTCAGTGCTCTGAGCAAAGCACCTTGATTCTGTCATTGGTACAGTACTATAGGTGTTTATAAAGTGGGAGAGGGGAGAACCATGTTTCGTCATTGGCTTCGCGTCTGCCTTGAGGCCACTGTAGCCTCCCATCCGGAACAGTGGAATTCCAAGCTAATCGAACTCAGGAGACACACAGCGCCTATGAAAGGGGCCTTTGTCACAGAGCTCTAAACCAGAGATGACATTGTAATAAGAGAGGAGACTTCTGAGAACTGCCTGGGACCGCAGTCCACATATAGCCCATAAAGGTGACTGACATCTCTGTGGCATTTAAACAGAGCCTGTTGGGATGAGGAGGGAACAGGGGAAGGACATGTGCCACAGGTCTCAGACAAACTCACTGTATAAATACATACTGTTGTGGCAGACCTTTGGTGAGCAGAGTAAATACTGACAGTGTTTTAAATCCCAAACAAAATGTTAGGTTAAATGTTGACTACAGGGTGAATTTTAGTCTGCTGTTCATTCTCCTCCAGTATGAAAATGATGGACCAGCTGCCATGTACTGCAAGGTTCTTGGATCCAGCAAGCAACATACTGCATGTAGTAAACGGTATTGTTATACACTGACTTTACTGATGCCAGCAAGGCCATTTTTAAAGAGTAATCCACATGGGAGAATTGCTCTCCTGCCATGTAGGCTGGTTCCAGATGATGAGCAGAGACTGACAGGCAGTTGTTTATGAGGAGAAGGGCTCCTGTCAGTCAGCCTCTCTCTCTCTGAGGCATCATGTGTCTGTATGTCACATTGCTATCTCCGCATAATGTGGACTATGTGCTCTGAGGCCCCCCCGACTGGCTTCCCAATGGCCTTGAATGACTCAGATGCCCTGAGGGTAGCGCTGATATGCCTGGCATAGAAAAGGAGAACACTAGCTGACTTTACAGGGCTAATTGTGTCTATTGAAGCAGTGCCACTGACTGTATCTGTTTAGTCATTTTACTGCCACTCATCAGAATATCTTGGCCTTATGGACATCTCTTTCTAGCAGCGGCTCTGTTTTCTAGGATTGTGATTGTAACATCGATACAAATAGCCTTGCCAATTTCAGTCTACAATATTTATTGTATGCAGGCCTTGAAATTAGCAACAGGAGGTCACTCAAAAACACAGGCAAAAGAGAACCAATTCAATAGTTACAACAACAAAAAAATATCTGTTTTTTAGGGTGATGATACACAGACACACCAGGACACTGTGGGATTTTAGGGACAAAACTAAACCAATGTCAGCTCAGGCAAAGCACTGCAATTTTTCCTTTTCTTTGCAGTTTGAAGCCTTAGTGGAGTGAACCGATGCCTGCGCAGAGACATCTGTGACTTTTTTGCCCGCAGCGTACACATACTAAAAAAGATTAGACTAAACCAGACCAGGTAGCCAGCGCAAAACACAGATGGGGCCATGGTGATGACAGTTTGTGTGTGTGTGTGTGTGTGTGTGTGTGTGTGTGTGTGTGTGGACAGAGATAGAGAAAAGGAAGAGACGATCTCATCCCAGGGGTATAGCAAAATGAGGGGTGACTCACTATTTTCATCGCTGAATACTATTTAAAATATATAATATTCACACGGAAACTGAATTATTAAGTGCTTTTATTTCACTGCAACATTACAAACCTTACTCGTGACAATGAACGTTGTGGGAACTAGGAATCAACAGGTTTAAAAGCTTAACATTCTTTTAAATGTGAACTTGTAATCCCATCAGCGTACATTCATAGATTTCATTCCACACAATTTACCATAGTGTTCCATACTATATTTTCCAGCACAAGTAAAAGACTGGAGAAAAGACTGGTCTATACAATTCATTTACACAACAACAATAACAACAACAACAACAACAACAAATGTTCATGAATAACGTGTACCTTCTGGGAAAATGTATAATGTTTTGTTTCTTCTCTACAATTTATGGTGTCATTTTTGAATGTGGAGTCTAACAACACTCAAATCCATTATTTACTAAAATGATTGTGCTTCTTGGGAAAACACAGCATCACACAATGCCTGAATTCTCACCTTCTACCAAACATAAATAAATATATGTTTTGTGTTGTACTACAAAATGTCTGTAATTTTATCTTTTAAACAGCCTTGCAGACATCTCTCCTGCTAAGATATTTTGTGATTGTTTTGTATATATTTATATATGTATACATGTATATACACAATTTATATATATATAAATATAATGTAATTGTAAGTTGAAAATTAATATATATATATATATAGTAACGCCTAATGTATAATAATAACATATATAATTAAATATTATTTCTCTGCACAACACATTTTTTATTTTTTTATTTTTATTTTTTTTTTGTTAGCTGACTACAGTTAGCTGACCGTTGTCTTCTTCCCCTGTTGATGTAACATTATGGTAAGTAACGTTAGCTATGTTCTGCTAGCTGTGGCAGGGGGGCAGATAATAACACACCTTCACTGATTCTTGGTGTAGATTTAGACTTGAGCTTTCGATATGGAATAGCTATTCCGTCTCCCTAACACGCATTAGGTGGGTAAATGGGTAAAAGATTGGATTTGGCAACTAGCTAATTGGATTTGTCAATATCTGTCCGGCTTTAGGACCCAGCGGAGTGTGAGGCGCACATGGCGAAGTGTGGCTGCTCCGGTACGAGAGGGGATGGTAGGTCCGCTTCACTACTCTCCAACATCCTCTCTCTCATTCTGGCTTTTCTACCGCTCCTTGCCATAACCCTATCACATGGGCAACACCTCCACACACACACACACACACACACAAAAAACCCTTTAGCTAACACATGTGTTTGAACGTTTTTCCCCCAGACAGTTGCCCGCCAAACGTCTGGGGTAGGAAGGAAAAGTTTTTGACAGCTTCTTTTTTTAAATGACAGCCTGCCGCATCTTGGACTCTTGGTGGTGAAGCTTTTTTTTTTTTTTTTTTTTTTGTCCCTCTTAGCCCCCCATCTTAAACCCACTATACATCTCTGTGAACTGCTTTGACCTGTATCCTCCATCCTGTCCCCTGTGTGAAGTGTCTGGTCGTGCTGCATTAATAACGCAGTTTGACCGGAGCGCTTTCTCCCCCTCCCCGGCTTCACCCCCACCGAGCCCGGGCATCATGAGAACCTGGAGGCGGCGGAAGAACTTTGCCTTTCTGATCTTCGCTCTCCGCGTCTGGTGCCTGTCCACGGCAACAAAAAATGCGGACAGCATGGTTCACAGTATACAGGAGGGTGAGTAGGTAACATAGCTGGTATGATGTCTGTCTTTAGTGACTTGGCTTGTTTTCACATAATGCTGCAGATGTTGAGCCCCAGTCTTGGTCAACTGAGCATGTTTGGAGTTGATTTCATGTATGTTCGTGCAGTGTAAGTACCTTTTATAAGAGGGTTATCTTGTTGTAGTTCACCGGCATACTAATATGTAAAAGAACTAATCTCATCGTTTTTATAGATGTACTTGATGGGACACTTAAATACAACCATTTTTTGACATTTCTCTTCTCATGCAGCTCTTCTCTCACATTGGGGAAATGTAGAAGGGGAAAGAGTTTGTTTGTTTAGATCCATCTTTCTGCTCAGATTGAACAATAAAAGGAAGTGTGGACAGATGAGTTTAACATCCAGGAGGATAGAGCGTCATCTTTAGGCTGTAAATATAAACCAAACAGGATGTTTGTTTTATGAAGCTAAACTTTTATCTTCTGAATGAAAAAGCCAGTAATAACTGCGTATTGTGTGTGTGTGTGTGTGTGTGTGTGTGTGTGTGTGTGAGATGCAGAGTGTGTGCCAGGATAAAGATTGTTTGTATGTGGTACGTGGCAAAGATAAAAACAGCCCCCCTCAACTCTATATTTTAAGTTTTACATGTGTTGGACTGTCAAACTGTTTTCTGTAGATTTTGACAAGTTGGCAGGCACGCACCAATCATAGATTATAGAGAAGACTCTAAATAACTCATCTCTTAACCTCAGTTGACTCCAGTGCATACAGACAGAGACTCTGTAGAGTGTACTTCTAAAACACTATTGCATGTCATCATCACAATGTGAGAGGGTACCATAGGAGCTCAGTGCTCACAAGTCCTGAGGAGGTAAAGTTAAGAAATGTCCACATTAATGGTAAAAATAGAAGTTTGAGTCATATCGTCAATGAATTTCAGCCAGCAAAATTTAAATGCAATGCAGAATCGCTCTCTTTCTTAAAACATGCATGTACTGCTCATTGTTGCTGATTTTGTGCTAACAAACGTGAAGCCTGAGGGTGCATCATTAATAGTACCTCACAAATTACAGCAAAGCTTCAATGAAAATTACCCATGTTTACCGCACACATCATCTCAATGTGGGGTCATTAGAGCTCTCACTCAGAGGGTTAGCTGATATATGAAAGCACGGAGTAAAAATAGTTTTAAGGGGTTGCGTGAGTATTGAAATAGGGCAGTACATACCACCTCTTTGATGTCAGCAGGATATTGACTTCAGCTTCTTTCTGAAATGTTTGTCATGGCCTCCCTCCACCTCGGTGGAGACCGAGCTGCAATGGCTTTAGGATGCTGTAGTTTGTGAAGCAGAAAGAAGCTAGAGAGGTTTTCCTTGAGGCAGACTCTCCCTCAGTTCTCTGACAACATTGTTTGGATTGGTTTATTTCGGAGTAAATAGCTATAGCAAAGCATTTTTTCAATTCAGAAATTCTACAGATTTTTCTGTTTTTATATGGAGTTTGGGATAACAGGAGCTGTCGATAGACAAACTAGCCCCAGGAATATTCTGTTGAATTTGTTTATGTTCTAGTTTGCATGCTAAATGTAAATGTTTATGAGGTGGATTGGTCTAACATGCCATTCAAGAAAGATTAATGTAGTGTAAAACAGTGACAATGTAATATTCATAGTACAGCAAAAACAGTATCAAAAACACATGGTTTATGAGTAGTATGATGACTGGGGCTCTTAACTTCAGACTTACCCCCTGCCCAAAATAAAAGACAGCATCTGTTATTTCAGCAAATTCCCCCAAATTACATATATTTACGTATAAGTGACAAATCCCTCTAGTGGCTATAACAATTATGACATAGTGTGACTCGGTATAGAGTCCACAGAGAAAGAAGGTAGAGGTGATTGAATGGGAAAATGTTGGACTTTGACACAGAACACAGCTGTTCGCTTTCCGCTTGCTACTGACAGTCACGTTGGCCAAATGTTAACGAAATTAAGTAGTGAAAGATGAATTTACACATTAGAGGAACAGCAGGTATTCATCACCAGGGAAAACAAGATGCCTGGGAGTAATATGCAGCTCAGGATGTATGTTAAGTGTAAAGCGGTTGGAAGGTATCTATTTTGCCTGAACGGACTGGTTCAACAGTGGGCTGAATCCGACACGACTGGTTGCTTGACTTTAACCAGATTTGTGATGAGTGCCCTGCCAAAATCACCCAAACTTGGGCCGATGCCATGGGTTGACACTTGCCCAAAGCTAGCCTGAGTGCTGCCTAAATCAACCAAAGTCTCCACCCCCAAAAACTCCATATTTGAGTCCTCCAGTGTCAGAGTACTTCTAAGCACAGCAGCAATCAGCTGCAATCGGCTACCTGGATAGAGTTAAAAACTAAGCAGTGTTAGCAGTTCCTGAATTAAATGATGCATCAGACAGTAAGGGTTATCTCTGCAGAGATTTGGAGGTGTTATGTTAAGTATATCCTGCACTTGAAGCCAGTGATATTCCACTACTAGAGTATTATTTTAAGAAGAATTCAACAAGTGGAAGCACTGTACAAGTTAACAGGTAGATTTAATCACACTTCCCCCGGTAAGCATAGAGTTGTGTTTGGTGTAGCACAAGAGAAACAAAGGCTGTTTACCAAATATATGCCATTGTAGCAAATGATCAAGTGTGAATTTGTGTGTGTGAAATGCTGACATTTTGTTCAGCTCCTCTTGCTCAAAGCTTGAAAGAAAAGGTTTTGTTTGTCCCTGTTTTTTTAAGATCAGAAAGAATACTTGAAATGATCAAAAGGTTGATTGATGGCTTCTTGAGTGAATCTTAGAATATTAACACATTTCCTGTTTAAAGCAGTATTAAAATATGTTCCTCTGTATAAATGTCGCTGTAATTAAATGATGAAAGAATCTGCAAAGTTAAAATCAGGTGATCAGTATTTGAATTGGCTGTCTGCTCATTAGCTTTCAAAAAATCTAAAAGCAAAACTAAGAGAAGTCCCATAAGGGCAAGAATTAAGCAGGCTGTGTTTACAAATCTTTGATGAATCGCTCTGTGGGTCTGTCTCTTTTTGTCTCTCTTCTGCATATCAACTGGTTTTCTGAGGGTCTGATCTATTTTCTGGGTAGAGGCTCAATAAATAATTAGAGACAGAACCAAATGACCTGGATTAGATTTGTGGATATTATCTGGTCAAACAGCAGCATCAGACAGAATTAATTAGAAAGATTAGAACGTCTGTATTGTCTAAACAAACTGGCAGAGAGGAGAATAAAATCTGCCCTGAGCACATTGAAACACTTAGAAATTCATGCACACTCCCTTTGGCCTCTCAGGTGCGTAGCCCACCTTTCAGAACAGTTTCCTAAAATGTAACTCAGCACCCGTCCTCAGGTCTGTGGTAGAGCACTGACGTATGGCTGCCATCTGGGTTAAAACAACCGCTTTCTGCTAAAACCATTTAGGAAATAACCTCACCCTGGTCTGTCTTTCAAACCCTTGGGGTGGCTGTCGCCTGACATTTTGAGGCCAGGCTGGCATTGATTTGTTGGCCACGAGGGAATGACAGACACAGTTAGAAACGTCTCCCTCTGTTAAGCATCATTGGTCATTATAGCCATCAGTGTGATTTAGCTTCTTCCAGCTCACCACGTGTCGCTCTGCCCCGAGGATGACAGGATCACAGATATAATAGATAAGCCGATATTATGAGACGGCAGCACAACACACAACATACAAACCAGCGGCATGCGCGGCTCAGAAATGTTTACTGCTGTGTGATAATCTGAGAAACTAACATGCACACATGGAATAATGCTCTGAGTAATCCCAGATGTCATGACTGGGTGATGAGAGAGAGGGGAAAGAAAGAAAAATGTGTGAGAGGTGTATTGTGAACGTTTGAGGAATCTGGGTGGTAGACAGCAACAGAGCTGGAGACCACCACCTGATAGATAGATAGATAGACAGCAGTCAGTCATAGATGGGATAGATGAGGGTGGGAGCATCCCCTCCCGATCTGCATCAGCCGCCAGCGAACCAGAAGAGACACAGAGACAGGTGCAAAGACAGTTACCTACCTCTCTCATCCATTTACTGCAGTGATTGAATGTGTCATTCTCTCGGTAAAACACCGATATTTTTGTGGGATAGACAATTTTCTCAGAAATTTTGTGGAGCAAAGAGAGGAAGAAATTAATAATGAATAGATTAGAAAGAGTAGGAATGGAACATAGAGTCAATGCTTTTACAACATATCTGAACAGCAAGCGGCTGATATTGATGCTAGAACACAGAATGAAAGCAGATATTGGATTTGCGAGGGGGGGGCAAGCATGCAATTGTCAGTTCTCACGTTTAAAATGAATTAGAGGCCAGAGGTATATCAGAAGAAATATGGAGTATTTTGGCGTGCACAAAAGAGCTGGTGAACATATAAATTCTTTAGAGCAGCGGTTGCTTGTTTTTGTCTTTTCCTTTGACGAAGCGCCCATCTCAAGATATATTAGGTTTTCGCTATGAGAGTAAGGACAGTGGACTGATGCAACAATATAATCCACAGTTGCACAGCGGGCTGATTCACAATGTCGCCCCTCATCAATAATTTCACAACAGAAAGGTCATCACACCTCTGTGTCAGTGTATTTACTGTGAGACGTTCTTGACTGGAGTCTAGCCGTGCTCTTAAGCCATCAGCCTTTATATTGTGGTAGTTTTTGATGGAGGGAATAGAAGCTGCTGAGAGAGTATTATATAGAGTGAACACCTTTGTAAAGAAAGACCTTTGAGGCAGAGGTTGGTTGTCCTTTGCCCACAGCAATTTGGGACCTCTTGATCTCAATATGTGTACGTGTGCATGTGTGTTGTGGGGTTGCCCCTACTTAACTACTTAAATTTCCTTCCTCGCGTGTTTTACAAAATCCTGACAAATACAGAATGTTTTGCTCTTTGTGTTTTTGGTATCAAATGAATATATATTCAATAAATATAGTTTTGAATGTATTAGCCTGT